TGCATTTAAAAGAAAGTTATTTAAAGTGGTGAGCAGGTAGCGCCATAATGAAATTACTCCAGACAATGCTTTAATATTCCTCTCAGTCTTCTCTGCAAACACTTTGAGATGAAAGGAAATAGCTTCTAGAAGAAATACTGTCTTCAGTTATGTGTCAGAAAGGTCCTTACAGTCGTGTCTTACAGAGTTGACTAGCACTCTCTAGTGGGATTTTATCCCTCTGTATGTGCCTGGAAAGTGGTTTGTTGGATCGGCTCTCCGGTTACTGTAATTCTTAGTCCTCGGGGTGTTTTTTTTAATACATATTGTTTTGTTCATTCTGAACAAAAGGAGAGAGAAACACTGGAGTAGTTTAAGTAAAGGCCTTCCAAATACTTAGGTACTATTCCCAGTTAACAAGCTTGCCGTGTTGTTAGCTGTGACCACTTCAGGATTAGAATATCTCTGCAACGTTGAGAGGTTTTAAAATTATTATTCTTAATATAAAAGTGGAGATACCGGCTCATTGTTGAAATAACTTGAGAACATGGGATAATACCTTCTGTTGCAGTAGTGCTCTGTGCAGGATGTCTCTTCAGGATCTGTGGACAAATGATCACTACGAATGATGATGAAGAGATACTGATATAAATGATGGGTCACTGAAGAATAGACACTGCTTTTCCTTTCAGCAACTCAGAGCCCAAAGTAGCGTTACAGAACTTAAGTTTTCAAGTCCTGCTAGAGTCATGTCCCCAATTTATACCCTGTTTGTGAGGACTTTTCCTTGGGGAAATTTAATTTATGTAACTATGTTCTGTGTTATGTGCAGTGTTATGCCAGGCTTTCAGTGGAAACTTCTTGATGGTAGAAGTGTGCTCAATGGTACTTGAGTTCTGACTCTGATGTTAAACAGTGGTTTTGCTTAAACAAGTGCTGAGAAAAGACATAAGTCTTCACCTACATGCGTGTCCCTTATAAGGCTGCATGTTTTATAAAACAGGTGGTGAAAGCTGAAGACCTACATTGCCTCAGCCAGATCACAACTTCAAATGATGATAGGACAACAAAATTTGGAGGCAAATCAAGATCTTCTGCAGATGTGATTGTTCTCTGTGCTGAAGGTCTTGGCACTCATTGAGGCAGACTCTTAATTCTTTTTATATTGATTCCTTTTCTATATATTGTTGCCAGTGATCAAAAAATCACTAGGGACTAGTTGCCCCTTCCGTTAGGCAGTGGATCATGAGTGTTCTACTGTTATGGTTGCAGGATCAGGGCAGAGGCTGTTCTCCAACTGCAGGGGTGAACAACTTCACCTCAGTCTCATATCATATCAGGATTAATTTGTGTTAGTCAGATGCAGCTAGTGATGGGGCATTTTTAAGAAGTTACTTTTTCTCTCTCCAATCCTAACTTCTGTCTGCCCATTTAGAGATTAGATTTATGGTGCTGCCATCCTGATAGTAGACCTTCTTCCCATTTGGAAATAGAGCTATGTATCTTAAGTATTGGTATTAAGATCTTAGGAAAAGCACTTTCTGTGTTGGGAAGTTTATCCTTCCACGGGAAGAACTGACAACTGGAACTTGGGCAAGACCTATCAGACATATCTAGCTTCTGCAGATCACAGAAATACAAGAATTGTTAGGTTTGCTTTGGGGGAACTTACCAACTTGTCACAATTGTTTAATAAACAAGCTTCTCCCTGCTGCAAATGAAGCATGTTTTTTTCCCCTGTTCCATAATTTTAATTGTCAGCTCGAATGCTATTTCTCACACACACTCTGCTCTCAACCTTGTTAAAATTAAGCATATAATCCCCTTTTAAAACACCTTACTAAAATCACCATAGTAACATTACATCCAAGCTTTACAGATAAAACACAACACCAGTAAGGGATTTTTTGATATCCCCTAGCAGCTCAGTACGGTTTATGGAAATGGTTGCTCTGTTGACATTTAGAATTCGATAGGATGATAGTACTTATGCTGTCTAATTCTCAGACTACTGAAATGCTTTTAAATATCTGTCTTTTTGTTCATCTGTGAATTTGGAGTGCTTTTTTGTCTTCATCACTGCATGTTTTTCCTTCCCTGTTTGGGATCCACTGAAGGATTCTTCTTTCTGAACTGGACAGTGACATCTTTCTGAACCGGATCCAACTTTTATTTCTGAAAGTCTTTTTTTCTTTTTTTTTTTTTTTTTTTTTTCTCTAGGCACCGAGTATATAATCTCCCAAATAAATTGTTTGTTGCGTTGTATATGGCATCATAGAAGAGAATATTCGCTCGCTTTCAAGGCTTGTGACTATTAGTGAAGTGGCCTTGAACTGAATTGGTTTTGTTGTTGCTGTTGGTAGGACTGACTCGTAAAGATGCACATGTAAATGCTAGCCAATTTTCTCAGTTCTCTGGAAACCTAAAATAAACTAGAACATAACCTGAAATAAGTGTTAATTTCATACTGTTATGAGGTCTCAAATAGATCTAAAATTGGAATGAAAAGTCCTCTAATAATTATATTAGTCCCAGCTTCACCACTAAACATCAAAATTTCTGTTAAATGGTAAAACTACATCTCTACAAACTGGGAAGTCAGTTGGGCTTGGTTTACGTGGAAACTATCATCACTGTACATAAGCATTTGATTAACTTGATTTGACAAATGTGGTAATAGCTCAGGAATGTCTTTCATTTTGTTAATAAATAGCATTCAGAAAGTGCCGTGCTTTAAATGTAAAGCATCTTATTTTGATCTCAGCTTACTATTTTGAGCATCACCGATTAGTGGTAAAATAGGGATGTGAATTATAGCATTTTTAAAGACATGAATTTTTAAATGCTAGGGCTTGGGGGGTGTGTGTGTGTTTGTTTGGGTGGCTTAGTTCTTGTTTCTTGTGTTTGTGTTTTTGGTTTTTGTTTTGGTGGTGATTGTTGTTGGTTGTGGTTTTTTTATTTTGATTTTCCAAAACTGCCCAATTTGGGCAAATTTTTCCTGCAGCAATACTTTCCACTGTGGTGTGAGTGGGAGCCAACATCTAAGAATGTTATTAGTTCACTTGTGCTATTCTTGAAGAGCCGTTAAGATCTTACAGATGAGGCAAATGACCCTTTAATTTTGAAAAATCATATAGCAGTCCTACAAAATTATTTTTATAGTCATGTCTGGCTTTAGCACAGTGTACTTTTGATTCTAATTTATCAATTCTTCCTTTGCACACTATTCTAGTCTTTGTTTTAACTGACTGCCTAGCTGCTAGAGTAAAGGAGAATTGCCTGGCATGGCTCTACTTGCTGAACATTTTGGAATGATGTATCTGGCATACATGCAGAGTTGGTAGATGGATAATAAGGCTTCTACAAGTCCATATCTCAGTGTTAAAGAAGCTTAGCATGTTATTAAACGTCTTGCGCTTGGAGTAAAGCAATTCTCAAATGAAGAGTAATAAAGAAATATTTTAGGTTACATGAGAGAACGGGGTTTGGTTTGTACTGTGTGTACTGCATTGAAGATGGTTTGTAGTCAAAACCATTGTCATGTAAAGATAAATGCATTTTTAGTATCCTCCCACTCTTAAAATTGGGGGAAAAAAGAAAAAAACACAACAACCCCCCCCCCAAGTGTATACTCTCAAAGTTAATTTCTTAAAAAAATTCTGCTGAAAGAGGAAATGTTACAGGTTCAATGACTTAGACTAGAAACTTTTGACACGGAGTTAGCTTGGCATTAATTTTTTTCCTCTTTACTCTCTCTATTTTCAGCCATGCAGTTAACCAAGTCGGGCAGAACTTTACGTTTGTGCTTACAGACATTGACAGCAAACAGAGGTTTGGATTCTGTCGCTTATCTTCTGGGGCCAAGAGCTGCTTCTGTATCTTAAGGTAGGTCTGTGGTTTGGCTTTTGGCTGACTCTAGGAAACAGTGTTTGACTTTGCTGTGTTATACTGCAATTATAATTTCCAGCTGTTCAAAATTATTTTCCTATCTGGTCCTCAAAGTCACTGCTCTTCCGCGGAAGTGATGCAAAATATCTTGCACTTAGAGTTCCTCTGTAGATAACTGTATTTGTTTGTAGTCAATGTTCTTGACTTAACAGTGTGGAAAAAAAAAGTCTCTTTACAGTAATTTGATATGACATAGTATGATGGCAGCTGTTATCTTTAGCTGTCACAACTGATCTTGTTAAGACATTTTATGGACATTTGTATATGCAAGTTTTATTAACAAAGCATCTGTTGGTAACTGAGAGAATGTCACTGATGCTGTCCACATCCTAAAAGTTTGTATGTATGAGCTTTACTTTGTCCTCTTGAGGGTTTTGTGAAGTTTGTTATAATAAAGACTGTTAGTGGAAGTTGGAAACAATGCATTTCACATAAAATGGGCAAAGAGACTCTATCAGAGTAGTTTTTGATGACCTCCCGCTGACATGTTGGAATACAGTCCATAATTTTCTATTTACATTTGCTGCAAGAAATGATGCAAGTAAAATCAATGTTAATATCTACCAATTAAGTACTTCTATGGATTGATGATTTCCACATGGCATCCGGCCTGTCTTGTTTTAAACAAATTTAACAACAGTCTGTCTTCCAATTTCTCATGAACATGGAAAAAGCAGAAGTTTCAGAGCAATGGCCCAGGTAAAGGTAGCTTGCGTTAACTACAAACAGCCAGCTAGCTGACTGAACAATTGCTCAAGCAATCACAAATGAGGACAATTTCCTCTGTGAGCAATTGTAGGCATCTGTCTCTGTTGTCTCTGGTTTGCTTTTCATGTGAGAGAATCCAGTGTAAGAACAAGAAGAACTTGTCTTTTTCCTATGAGCACTGTGTATTGCACGTGACGGAGTGGGACCTTCTGTATATATGTTATCGAATATGACCCCTCAGGAGAATTTCAGGAACAATGTTGCAAAATATAGGAGCACCTATCAAGTACAAGGGTACTTCTCATTTCATTGAGTTGCATACAGCAAGGCCGTGGAATAGATTTTGGATTGATGTATGTATTCAGAATGAATACGTCTGTGCTATTTGTGCTGGCACTAGAGTGGTGAAGGTACCAAATGTTTGTTGCCTTGTACTTCAGCATTATACTGATGGCAGTGACCTGCTCACTAGGCCTTCACTGAACAAGCTTAATATTTGGAGAAATTATTGTGAAATCTACCAAAATTACTAATTAATTGTGTGGAAGGCAGGCTGACAGGTGTTTTCTCAGTATCTCCTTTCTTTTCTCTAGTAGACATATCAACTATTATTAGCTGTGGCAATCCAGCCATGTGGACCGTATGCTGAAGACGGGAAGGTATTTCCCCAGCTGTTTCCCCGTAGCTGCTACCCCGTATAGTTGGGGTGCTGATTCACTCCCATGTGGGAAGTGTCTGGTTACACAAGGTAACTTTTCCTGGTTAATGACAAATTAAAGGGGAAACACAGTTTAAAAAGAAAATCTGAATGAAGAGTAGTATGAGTCCCTTCTTGATCTCTCCTGGATAAGAGTTCTTTGCTGTCAGCTCCCTTATGTTGAGTGAATGCCAAGAAGAAATGGAGGAGTTATGTTGTAGTTAAATGCCTTCTGCTTCAACTCATAACCAAAAAAAAAAAAAAAGCATCTCAGTGCAGTTACAGCAGTGGATGAATTAGGACTCTCAGCTTCGTTCCTATAGCTTCTTTCACCTGTGAACTAATGAGAAAGTGAAACTTCATTAATGCACGTGAATGCAGGTCTTAGGGGATAATAGAGTGTGAATCAGCATTACACAGATTCACTTGTGATATTCCCAGGACTGCATCACCCATCATCCAATAAAGGATGCTGCATGGTAAATGGGTGGGTCAAAACATGCTGAAGAACGTGAGAGTGGTACGAAAAAGCAAATGGGGATGAAAAGGAAGTTTGTTTAATTGTTTTTAAATTACGGCTTGGATGGCAGCAAGCTTCAAGTATGTCTTGCTATATTCAGTGATAGTATAAGAATTAAGTGATATTGTTTATTATTAGAGATTTTTATCAGTCAGAGATTTTATGAGTCTGGCCGTGGTAAAATGGTTTGGAGGTGGAAAATCATCACGTTTAGATTTGTTATTGAAGAGGAACAGGAGAAAAAGGAAATTCTTTTCACTGAGGTGGTGCTTTAAAAACATTTCTGCAGAGGTGTGGAAGCAAAATGTAAAGCTGAGGCAGTACTCAGAAGGCCAGAAGTCAAGGTCTGGACTTTGAGCTTTAAAGTGACCTAGAGACTTATTCATGTGAATGCAAAGTACAGTTAGGCGCTTCTTGGAGTTTAATAGCAGTAAAGTTATCCACGTGGCTGGAGCTCCTGTGGCCAGCAGAAAAGCAATTCCATTTTACAGAGTAACTCTTGTGGCTGTTTTAACCAGTACTGTTTAGAAATCTGCTTTCAAGACAGTTTTATAGTTTTGTTTCTGCTGTGGATAGCATCACACAGATTTATGGAAATCTTTGATTAAGTTTAAAAACTGCATCTTCTAGGTGTTCTGTGATTTTTTTTTTTTCTTTTAATGTAGAACCACTGAGTCTGTCTCTCTTATTCCGTTTTCTTTTTTTTTTTTTCCACTCGATTTCTAGCTAATCATGAAACTGCAATGATCAAATACTGTATGTAACACAGAGTTGTGGAGCGCTCTGTAGCATAGATGACTACTTTCTGCATTTCAGACAGCAGAGGGCGGACAAAAGCACAAAACAAGTGTCACAGATGGTCTGGTGGGGTTTTTTTGAGGTTCTAAATGGTGAAGTGAATTAAAAAAAGCCCACAAGCTTACGTACCACACATCAAAATCTCCTGGGTAACTTGGAATTCCAGACTACTTTCTTCAGTGCACTATGTTACAAAATTTAAAATATGTTCTTTGATTCTTCTCTTTTCCAAATGATGAATGCATAGTAAGTTGAGAGCTAATGTCCAAGTCTGAGTTCTAATTTGGTAATCTTAATATCCTAGAAAAATTTCCATGCCAAAAGATTTTTTTCTTTCTAAGACTTCATTTAGAGATGTCAGGATTTTGGCTGAAATAAAATAAATCCTATTGGATATGCATTAGGAAGCTGATCTGTTGTTGTTGTTATTTTGTTTCTAGAGGTTTGCTTTAATCTAACTGTGCATCAGATTTGGCATGGGCTTTTGAGGGTGAACAACATAGATAGTTGAGAATTTAGTGAAGAGCTGTAGTCTATTTAAAAAAATAAAAAAATAAAAAATAATAAAAAAAAAGGTGTTGGAGACCTTCCCAAACTGCTGTTGCTCTCTCTTCTGAGACATCGTCTTCAACTCCTTAATCAGGCATCTCCCCTAGTTTGTTCTGGAATTTCTATACTCTTGTTTGTCATCTTTTCTAAATCTGCTATGTATTTAGAGAGTTAATGTTCTTTTATTAGGGCAAAAGAGCCCGGTAGGTGTCAAAAGAGGTTCAGAATTTGTTCTTGATTGCTATTTCCTGCTAATTGCAGTGTACTGAAAGATGATGTAAACATACTGATCTACTGATATGATCTAAGTGATAAGAAATAAAATAACAGTCTTAATTTATCTTTCTGCTTTTGCATATTCTTAAAGCATATAGATGCTTTCTGATTCTTAAAAATCTTGAATTCTGAGGCTCTTAATTTTAATTTCCTCACTGTTTTAATGTTAGATCTCCTTAATAGCTTATTCATCTTTTCAAATTTCTAGCAACTCTAGCTGTGCTAAATTCTCCAGAAGCCAGTTTGTTGGTTACAATATGGACAGCGTTGCTCAGTATCTCAGCTGTGTTTGCCTCCTTGGCTAACTCCTGTGCTCTAGAACTCGTGAGAGGCACAGGCATTGATGGGTTTCAACATTCTTTTGGTGGGAAAGTAACGTATAAACCAGTTTGTGTTAGTATCAGTAAGTGTATGAAAGGAGTAGAATGTTTTGGTTTACAATCTGCTTTCTCAAAGCTGAAGTGGACAAACACTTTTGTGTGCGGCCTGCCCATAGGGGGACAGTTAAAGACCTCGTTGCTGAAATTACTTTAAGCATGATGTTTCCGCTCATACTGATGCCATTGTTCCTGGTGGTCTGAAGATGGGTGACGAAAATGAAGACCGGGTTCATAAAGCTATGAAGAGGCTGCTGAACACAAGAAATTCTAAATTCTGTGGAGACATTGAAACATGATTTTTTTTTGTTTGTTTGGTTTTTTTTGGTTTTTTTGTTCTCTCCCTTCAGAGGAAGAGATCAAGTTCTTGTGTGAAGCCATTATTTAAAAGTGCATATCAGTTATCAGGTTGTGTTGTTGTAGCTGGGTTTTTTGTCCTTCTGACTTCTGTGTGTTGTGGAATCTCAGACTCCTGACAACTTTGTCTTCTGTGCAGTCATGAAGGAAGAAAAAGTTCTGCTTTAGGAATGTAAAAAATGTTGTTAACTTGGACTGAATACTTTTTTTGATACGCTTATTGCAGAATGTTTACATAATAAAGCTAGCAAGTTTATTTTTTAAAAATATTTTTATCTTTTGTCTTCTGAAATATTTCCAGAATTCAATCTAAGGACCCACTTACTGATGCTTGAAAAATTCTTCAGGTTGTAAACAGATAGGATCCAGTCATTTCTTCAAATGTGTGTTTATTTTATGTTCTGACTATTTAAACTTTAAAATAAGTTAATGTTTATGAAACATATGCTGCCTTTTGATAAAAAATAATGGCGATGTTGAATGTATGGTAACCTATTTAAACGTATGAACTGGTTTAAATGTGTGTGTCGATGTAATGATTTCAGGTTATGTAGCATAATAAAATGGTGACTTGAATGGTGCTATTTTTTTTCGTATAGATGATAAAAATCATGTGCATGTTCACCAAGTTGACCCTAGTATTAAACATGTACTT